ATTTCAATGGCAAATTTAATGTTGTGGTTTTCAGGGAACACAGAAATCAAATTTCTTGATTCAATGTAAAGTTATGTGTAGATATTAGAGTTTCTGAAAATATTAAGAAAATTAAATTACACATTGTTGACTTACAATTATTTTCTATAGAGAATAAGACTAACAGTAAGTCATTTAGTTCTCCAGAGCAATGCTTTAAAAAGTTTTATGAAATATTTTTTTAAAAAATCAACCCTAAAGAACCATGTAAGTACGATAATAATATCCATTTATTGCTTTTAGCCACAATACTTTTTGATAATTTCCCCAAACTTTACAAATTCCAAACAGACATAATATTCAAGAGAGAAACAAATAGCTACCTTTTTATCCCAAGCTTATTCTCTTTTTTATATTAATAGCAAAAGGAATGTAAAGGACACCAAAATGGCTTTTCTCTCAAATCTATGTTCCCCACATCTAACAACAATTCCTTAACAATCTGGCTTAAATTTATGTTCTAGATTGATGAATTATTTGTTACTAAAATTCAAAAGTCTATTTTAGCTTGTTATTATTGATTTACATATTTGGATAACAGTTGATTTTTTCTGTCCACTTTTAACTCTGTATCTCATTGAAAATAAATTATTTTTAATACAGAATAGGTCACAGATTACATGAGACCCTTGTGCCATGATGACAAATACAGAAGGATTCTTAAAATAGTAAGCATGAAAGGCAAATTCTTATACTTTAAAATTTCATTTCTATCTAGCTGTGCTTTTCCTTCTAACACTAGAAGGAACTCCCATCACGCACTGCCTTTACTCCTGTTTTTCCTTAGCCTCGGTATCAGCGCAGCAATATCTGAGAAAAAGCTAAATTTGATGGAGTAAAGCAGGGAAGGAGGGGAAGCCGAGCCTTGGTGCACCGTTAACTTAGCTACCTACCTCCCTACATGGCTGGTTCTCAATACTGTTGAAACCTGTCAAGACAGCTTAGGAAAAATATTGCAGAACCATAGTCCCCAAAGACAAAAAAGGAAACTTTTATTTGTCACCCTCTTCCCTGGTGGATAAATGGTTGTCTATAGGACATTAATGTTGTAGTACTTCCAAATTGTGCATGTGTAAAAGATGTTAAGTTTCCTGCCAGTTCCCTTGCCATGGGGACCAGGGCAAGAAGAGGTACAGGCTTCACGGTGGCTCATGCCTGCAATCCTAGCCCTCTAGGAGGCTGAGGGAGGAGGATTACTGAGCTCAGGAGCTCCAGACCTGCTTGAACAAGAGTAAGACTCCCCCTTATCTCTACTAAAAAAAACTTAGCTGGGCTTTATGGCTGGTACCTATAATCACAGCTATTTGGGAGGCTGGGGCAGGAAGATTGCTTGAACCCAAGAGTTTGAGGTGAGGTTGCTGTGAGCTAAGCTGATGCCACGGCACTCTAGCCTGGACAACAGAGTAAGACTCTGTCTCAAAAATAAAGGAAGAGGTGCAGAGTCACACTTGGATGGTAATGAGATGAGGCTAAGGGGAGTTGGGTCCTTTAAAGAGTTATGTTATTCAGTACACCTTGTAGCTCCCTTAGACAAGTGTTATGCTCTCCACAAACCACGCGCCATCATACAGCCCCCTTCTGCAGATCCAAAAACCTATGAAGTTCTCATGAAAGACAGTTAATGTGACAAATTAAAATCCCTGCACCTGCAGCCTACCCCAAACCCTCGCCTGGTAGTTCATCCTTAACTTCCTCACACTGTGTTCTAGGATCTGCTTTTTGTATCTGCTGGTTGTTTTTGTCTGATGATGTAATTCAAAAAATCCCTTCAATTGCTTTGCTTTGAGGGGGGGCAGGTTGCTGCAAGTATAACCAATAGAAATTATGTTTAGTGGGACCCATCTCACAGCTATTTCCTGATTCCTAAATGAATGTATTTTTTAGGAGGCAGTACCACAACCATATAACCTCCTTTTCTCGCAAGGTGAGTCAAATTAACTTTTTAATTAGTCTACGTATATCCAGAATTATATACCTATAGTCCAAGAAGATATTGGCCAAGATAATACTTTAAGAAAAGAGATCACAGCTATGAGACATGTCTTTAATACATAGTAACTTGGTATTTTATTTTCTTAGCCATTAAGAGGATTTGTTCAACTAAAAGTAGATGAGCTTCTTCTAAAACTAATATTAACAAAGTATGGAAATTAATTTATTACTCTGTATAAATGTATGAGAAAGAGTCTCAAAGCAAATAACAGGGTTTTGACAGTTCACGTAAGGGAATTTTATATTTTTCAGTGCTCTTGCAATACTAGTCTGATGAAATGATTCCCTTTTGTTCTTGTTTTCCCTTTCAGAATACAATTAGATACATTAAAGGCATTACTGATATCTTCTGATTTCATGGAATATTTGTCATAATTATTGGGTGAACTAAACCAGCATTAAACTAATTTATTGTTGCTATCACATATGATTATCATTTATTCTGATTTAGTTAAGACGCCAGGTGGCTTCATTTCATTTATTAGAAATGAATGATATTCACTCTTCCATGAGGTACCTGGGACACTGAGCTTTGGAAAAAGGTTTGTGAATTGGACATTTACCACAATATAATTGTTCTCCATTGCACCTTTTGAAGAGTATTATAGTTTATTTACTATGCTAATTAACATTAAAACACATTTTTTAATAGAAACATTCTTGTATAATGAAAATGGTAGGATTTAAATGCCTACTATGTGCCATGAACTGAACTAGATCCTTAGAGAAAAACAATGAGTACAATTTGGTCCTTTGTCCACACGGTCTAGCAGAAAATTTCAGGTCACTTTGTAAAACTTAATGATATCTTTGCATTACAATTTTGTGACATTATAGATATGCCAATCTTTCTCAACACATGTTGAATTTGAAACTAGTATGCTAGGTTCACTATTTTTTAGTAATTATATACAATGAAAACAACATAATTTTATCCATCCTGTAGCCATATCCCAATAAATAGTTTTGTCTGTGTCAAATAGTTTTGTTTGTACCCTTGACACAACTGTATTGATGTTATCCCACCTCTTACAGGGTAGTGAAGGTCTTCATGCTCTAACACTAGGATATCAGCGTCCTGTTTGGGAAAACATCCTCTGTGTTTCTCCCTAATGTACATCATGGCACCCCAGTTTTCCTGAAACACTCCTAGTTTTGCCAGTTATAATTATTCAGAGAAGTTCCTTTCACTCTCAGAGAGGTTAACTCACAAGTCCATCTCACCTGGAACGTGTGGTACTATAGTCGGATGGGTCACCGTCGACCGGCTCAAAGGAAACAGCCAGGACGCAGATTGAAAGAACAAGCTTGCAAGCGGTGAGGCTGCTCAGAGATGCAGGAGCGCCTCAAACAACCCTTGCAGTGGCTATTTAGTGAGGGGATAACAGGTGTGAAGAGTGCTGAGTAATGACGTATAGGAGCTACCTGCGTAAAGACCACAACAATGAAACTACGGCTTTCTCCACTCCCACAGTGAAATACCTTAAGATGTTTAAGGTTTAACACCTGCTTACCATCGAGTAACTGATCTTATCTCATTCCAGAATACTGAGTTCCTTGGGGCTTGCCTCTAGAAATCTTACAAGATTTCCCTAGGTTTGCCGGGAGAAAGTCTTGCTCTCAGCGTTTCCTTGGATGTGTTAGGAACCCGGGACTGTCCTTATAAGCATGATATTTATTCCTCCTCAGGTCACCTTATTCTTTTCTAAATTCTTCAGTGACTAAGGCAAAAAATCGTATGCACTATTCAAAGCCTTCTATAATTTTACCATATTCTACCTTTTTAAGACTTTATTTAATATATAGTCCCAATTTTTTTTTTTTTTTTTTTTTGAGACAGGAGCCTCAAGCTGTCCCCCTGGGTAGAGTGCCGTCGCCTCACAGCTCACAGCAACCTCCAACTCCTGGGCTCAAGCGAGTCTCCTGCCTCAGCCTCCCGAGCAGCTGGGCCCACAGGCCCCCATCACAATGCCTGGCTATTTCTTGGTTGCAGCCGTCATTGTTGTTTGGCAGGTCCGGGCTGGATTCAAACCCACCACCCTAGGTGTACATGGCTGGCACCTTAGCCACTTGAGCCACAGGTGCCGAGCCATATGTTCCCAATTTTAAAACTACCTAAGTCATTTTTCCATCTTTAATGATTTTGACAGTCAACTCAAATTTCATGATTATAAACTGTCTTTCCTAAACACTTCCATATTCCCTTTGAACCACAGAGCATATTCTTTTGTCATTCATGCACTGATTGGTAAAAATCCTGACATTCTTTTCTAGTAACATTAGCTCAAGCACAGAGTTTGGATACCTCACACATTGTTACAGGAGACAGTGCTGGGTTGTACTTAATAGCATGGACTCTGCTGTCACAATGGCTGACATTTGAATATGAGGGATTCAGCGTATTCTGCCACTTAAGCTCTTATTACCCTTCATTATACAACATTTCCAGAGCAATAAAAGTTATTTATTTAATGGGTAAAGGTTAGGAAACAGAAAGTAACCTTAGAAACCAAATAACATCAGATAATACTTCCAAATACTCAACGCACTCCCACAACCACCTTCCTCCCACCAACAAATCTTTGCATATTTGAAGATAAATATAACTTCTCCAAAAGTTCGAAGTCATATTTCAAGCTAGGTTTTAGATGACTAGAAGTACCATATTCAACAAGAGTGAGGGTGGATTAGTTGGAGCAGTATTTTCCCCAGGCACCCCATTTTTCATTTGTTAGTCTAGTTTCTGCAGAATCTCTTATCTAACTTAAGGGAAATTAGTCATTTTTCCAGGGAGGTTCTTTTTCATCCCAGTAGTGAGTATCTCATCCATAAAAGCTGGGACTTCACTTTCTCCTTTTCTTTGAACCACTGAACCCAGTTACAACAGAGTGTCCTTCCATGGTCTTTCCCTTCAGGCCGTTTGCCATCTAGCGTATCAGAGAGCATGCTCACAGATTAATTCAGTGTGATGTCCCTGAGCTGGGGCGAGTGGCCCTTGTGGGTGCCCATCTCGCATCAGCCCAGGGACAAAGCAACTGCTCATTTATCCCAGCTTGTTTTTTTGGCCTGTGCCTATATCTGGCTCATGGTTCCGACCCAGGAAAAAATAAATTCAGTGTGATAGGAACAACAGTAAAGCAATGTACAGGTGAAATGAAGGGCAGGTAATAGGCTCAGGCATATTTCCACATCTCAAACCCAGAATAGCAGGTAGAAAATAATGTTATGCATAAATATTCGATAGGCAAATTAACTAAGTTTATTCCAGTGAATAATTAATTTAAATAATGTGTTTTTTACTTTGTGTCAAATATTTCTATTGCACCATATCAACCATTTAAAAAATGATGATAAATGGGGTTACTGAGTACTGTGTAACATATAAGGTACACTTAATACTTCAAGTTCATTATCAGACTTGTTATTTCAGTGCTTTAATTTCTTTTAACTAGGCTGGATAAGCTTGTAGAGAGTCTAAGCAGCACTAATTTAATGCATATAGATAAAAATAAACTTTGTAATAAAATCTCAAAATAGATATCAATATTTAATGGGTGAGTTATTCTAGATTTCTACTGTATGTATATAACGGTACATCCTGAGCCAGTCACACAAACTCATTTATCTCTGCAAAAGAGTTACATATCAGCCCTTTATTTCCCCCAAGACACCAATATGTGTGGTAATTATAACATAAGCATCTTAATATTTCTGTCATCTGGCTGATATATTTGGGATTTCTTAATCATTTCTGCACAAAAATTCCTTGGTAATAGTTCAAAAGATATAGTTTCTGTGCAAGAAATTAAATGAGAAACTAAAAATGTAAGAACATAAATTAGTCTGAATGTGGCAAGTCTCTTTATTTGTAATACTACTAAAAATTCTCCTTTTCCCATTTTAGTTGTTTACTTTTTTAATTTCAGGATCTTACAGGGGACATACATTTTGCTTACATAGTTTACTCGTGTACATTTTAAGTCAAAGTTATATTTGTGCCTCTCACCCAGAAAGTGTGTGATGTACCCTTTGGGTAGAACTTTACCCATCATCCCCTTCTCCCTCATATCTTCTTGAATGCCACAGAATTTACATCCACATAAGCACAAAAGTACAAATTAACCAGTTCTAGTTTAGTATTAGCAAACGTGTCATTGTTTTTCCTTTCTTGCAATACTTCACATAGAAGAATGTTCTCCCATTCCATCCAGGTTGTTTCAAAATATACAAAAGATCACCATTTTATGGCTGAATAGTATTCCAAGTATACAAAGACCACATTTTATTGTTCGTGAGTTGATGGGCACTGGGTTGTTTCCACATCTTTGTGATTATGAATTGTGCCACTGGAAACATTCAAGTGCAAATCTCTTTGTATAAAATGTCCTTTATTCCTTTCGGTAAAAATCTAATAGTGGGATTGTAAGATCAAATGGTCCATCTGCTTTAAGTTCTTTGAGTAATCTCCTTATTACTTTCCACAGAGGTTGTCCTAGTTTTAGTAGTTTGTAGTCCCACCAATAGAGCATTCCTTTCTCTCTGCATCCACACCAGCATTGGTTGTACTGGGACTTTATGATGTGAGTCATTCTCATTGGGGTTAGGTGATACCGCAATGTACACTACCCCAACTACACTACCCACAGTGTAGTTTTGATTTGCATTTCTCTGATGATTAGAGACATTGTGCATTTTTTCATGTATTTGTTGGCCATTTGTCTTTGTTACAAACATTTGTGTTCATGTCTTTTCCCCAATTTTTAATGGGTTTGTTTGATATTTTCTTGTTGATTTGCTGGAGTTCTTTGTAGATTCTGGTTATCAGCCCTTTGTTGGATGTATAGCATGCAAAAGTCTTCTCCCATTTTGTAGAATATCTATTTAATTTACTGATTGCATCCTTGGCCAGGCAAAAGCTTTTTAAATTGATCAGGTTCCATGTATTTATTTTTGTTGTTGTTGTAATTGGCACTGGAACCTCCTTCACAAACTCTGCCTAGGCTGATATCGATAAGAGTTTTTCCTACATTTTCTAATTCTTATAGTTCCATGTCTAAGGTTTAAGTCTCTTCTCCATCATAAACAGATTGTTGTGAGTGTGATGAGGCAGGTCCTATTTCAGTCATATACATGTGGCTATTCAGTTTCCCAAGCACTATATATTAAATAAAGGTTCTTCTTCCCAGTGTATGTTTTTGTTTGCTTTGTCAAAGATAAGATGACAATATGAGGATAGTTTCACATCTTGTTTGCCTATTCTAACCCTTAGGTCTATGTCTCTATTTTTATGCCAGTTCTATGCAGTTGTGATTACTATAGCCTTGCAGCATAGCCTGAAGTCTGCAGAGGTGGTGTCTCCAGATTTGTTCTCAGTACATAAGAAAGCATGGGCCATTTGAGGTCTTTTCTGATTCCATACAAATCATAGAACTATTTTTCAAGATCTATGAAATATGGCATTGGTATTTTCATGAGAATTGCAATGAGTCTGTAGATCACTTTGGGTGGTATAGACATTTTAGCAATGCTGATTCTTCTGATCCATGAGCATGATGATTTCCCTCTGTTCATATCCACTGAAATTTCTTTTCTCAGTGTTTCATTGTTGTGCCCAAGAGGTTCTTCATCTCCTTGTTAAAAATATTCCTAGGCATTTGACTTTCTTTGAATCTATTGTGAAGGTACTATGTCTTTGGTTTTTTATGTCATTCTGTACACGTATTTATACACAGCAAAATCTGTATATTTAAGGGACATAATTCAAAATGCCAAAAGAGAAAAGAAACTGACAATTTAAAAGTATCCCCAAAGGAAAGATTTTAAATATTATCTTTTGTCACTTCTTATAACCAGTTTTTAAAAACTGACTTATTTCCTTGAAGTCCTTCTACTCAGGTCCCTAAGAAATAATATTTGCAGATAAAGCTAAGTAGGAAAAAACATAAAGTGGGTAGAAATGTCTTAATGCAAATTTAGGAATAATAATCCTGTGGGCATACACTAGTCCTGTCATGTACATTTAGGATACAGTTTGGTAGTCACTACCAGACATGGTAAGTGTTTATTAAAGGTATTTGGAAAGCCTAGTAAAAATAAGAAAGGAATAGAAAGAGAGCAAAGAGTCCAAGTCCCTTCTGATTGAATGATGAACTTCCCCAGAAAGCTCTTCATCTTCCTCTGTAGGTGTTTGGACGTCAATCACATATGGGGTTAGTTAAGTTCAATTCTGGTAAGTATAGGCCATTAAATAGCAACCTGTAAGAAAAGCACCTATCTGGGTAAGCATGATTCTCAGCACTCATGGGAGATAAGAGGCAGCTATCAGATTGGCTGGGAAAAACAACAGGAAAAGGACAGATATAATAAGGATCATAAAAATAGTCCCTGCAGCATGAGAGAATCCGGCAGCAGGATTACCCATGCCAGTGAGCAGTGGGACCGATAGGTATAAAAGAGTCAAAGAAACATAATAAAAAAAAACTGTGAACACGGTACTAATAGTGAGACATGATTCAACGAGCTGTTTGCCTGCTCTCTGCACCAGTTTATGATCTGAGAGCTGTTGTTAAATGACCAGCGGCAGTATCCATCCAGACGGAAAGGACCAGGGGAAGTTTGAGGGGCATAGGTAAGCTTCACCTGCCTCGGCTCATTTCTTGATTTATTTGTAGATATATATTTATTGAACAAGGTTCTCATCTCTTCTTTTTGATACTGAAATAGTCAGTATAAACAAAAAGCAATGTTGGCTCTGTAATGACATTTTAATTACTTAACAAAAAATGTTTGTAGAAATACATCCACGGTTTCCCATATTTAATAGTTCTAGTTCATTGCTCGGTGCATTAGAGAGGATTCTAGTTAGTCACTAAAATTTGAGAAACCCTCCTCTCATCCTCCTGGGCATGCAGCAGAATTATATTTCTTGCTTTCTTTCAATTAGAAATATCCATATATAGGTAAAAATAATGCCTGTCCTTTTCAGTTCATGCCGTGTGGAAGTGGTCCTGCCTCCTCCATGTTCTTTCTTCTCTTCTTCCAGCTGGATGCATTCTACGAATAAGACTGTAAAATTTATGCCATCAAATAGGATAGCCACATGTGGTTTCTTACATTTAAATTAATTAAACATCAATTCTATTTTAATTCAGTTCCTCAGCCACACCTGCCACATGTCCTGTGCTCAGTAACCATTTAGTGGTGGTTATTACCATTAGAAAACAAATAACTGAAAGTAGACTTCATATTGCACCTAGTAATCCATGACCAGTATCTGCCCAAAGGAAAAGAAGTCACTTTATCAAAAATGCACCTGAATGTTTATCACAGCACAATGCACAATTGCAAAGATATGGAATCAATCTAAGTGCCCATCATCTGGTAAGTGGATCTTATACACACACACACAGACACACACAGAGAGAGAGAGAGAGAGAGAGACCATGAAATACTAGTCAGCCATTAAGAAAATGAGATAATGTCTTTTGCAGCAAGTTGGATGGAACTAGAGACCGTTATCCAGAGTGAACTATCTCAGAAATGGAAAAGCCAATGCCGCATGTTCTCACTTATAAGTGGCAGCTAATCCATGGTGTCATGGTCATAAAGTGGCATAATGGACATTGGAAACTGTGAAAGGGGAGGATGGGAAGGTGGTGAGGAATTATAAAAGACAACTTCCTACTTGGTACATGGCACACTATTCTGTCGAGGCCTACACTGAAAGCCCTAATGTCAGCATCACACGATTCATCCAGTAACAAAAAACACTTATACCCCCTAAATCCATTAAAATTATATATGTATATATGTGTATATATATATTCTGCTAAAAAATGTCATCATTGCAGAAAGTTCCACTGGCAGTGTTGACCGATGTGTGAAGCAAAATACAAAAACTGTCTGAGTCCCTTAATCACCATAAGGAAAGTCAGACCCAAACCACTACCATTTATTTGGGACTATTAAGTAAGAAATAAAGCACTGATTTTGAGGCATTCTACAATTTGGGGTCTATATTATTACAGCTGATGAATACCCTCACTAGAACAATTAACAGCATATGTTCACAAAAATTGAAGTTCCAATTAACCCAAAAGGTA